TAGTTTCTCCTGTGTTCTCCCTTGTCCCATCCAACTCCCTTTTTCCTTCCCCTTCCATTCCCTTAGTTTCAACCCTCTTTGTTACTGTCTTTGTGCAGATTGATTATTCTGGTTACTGGATCTTTTTGCTTGTCCCCTGACTTCGATTCTGCCCATCCTGCATATCTCTGTTTGCCTGGCTATTGATCCATTTCTGTCTTGACCATGAGCTTTGTGAATCCCAATAAACGCCCTGCCGATGCTGAACTGCATTTGGAGTCTATGCCCGTTCCTTTCAGATAGGCAGCAAATGACCTGAGCCGGATTCGAACGCAGGTCGCTGCGGAAGGACACAGCCTTTATAGTACGCACACTTAGACCGATGAACCACCGGGGCACCCTGGAGGAGAAGATTTTTGAAGTTATAACGGAAAAAACTTAGTGTGGCCAGGGATCAAAGGTTAAACCAAAATCAATTTTGTAAATTTCACAAAACCCATCAGATATGTCTCTGGGCTTCTTGCTAGCAACCATTATACCAAATTACAGCTCAATAGCTGCGAAAATGACCCTCCAATGGGCCCATATGGCATTTTCAATATTGAAATCGGATCGGAAAGTTTTATATAAAATTTGGTGTTCTCATTGGTAGGAACATGCATGCCAAGTTTCACCATCATAGCTGCAGCGGTTCCAGAAGAGAAGATATTTTCAGACGACAAACGACGGACGACGAACGACGGACAACCAGGCCATGACATAAGCACACCGGACCTTCAGTCAAGCTGAGCTAAAAATGAAGAAAAAAGAACCAAAGTATAAATGTCCTGTTTTTCAGGGCCTAATAGCATGATGTTTATGGGTCTGTCTAACCAAAGCTAGAGGTACTGTTATTCTTATGTCATGCTTATGACAGCTCGTTAGGGCTTTATAAATGCTACATAACCATTAAAGGAAAGGTGAAGTTGCAGCTGCAGGCCATATAGGCTTTATGACTCCATAGAGGCAATATGGAAAGGTCCTGGAATGTTAATGATACCAAGCAGTCATGTTTTGATGGGGGGGGGGGGACTCATAAAGCAAGATAACAGTCAGCTGGATTACTGCTAAACCTGAAACAGCCCTTTCAACTTTGGTTTGTGCTCCAGATTTGGATAGTTTCCAGGTATTTCTCTGTGTAGTTATCCAGTTAACTTGGTAATCTGGCTGTGTGAAACAGGACCCTGGATAGATGATGGTTTGTCTGTGAGGCGTTACAATCTGCCCAAGTGAATTGTTTTGTGCTAGCCTGGTCATACCTCTGTCAGTCAGTTAAACCAGAAGCTGGGCTTATGCCAGCAAAGATTTCATGATGTTTACGCAGCATTATGTTTTCACCCTGTGTCTGCGCCTTCTCATAACACCTCAGAGCAAACACCCTAGGAGGAATGCGCAATCAATGACTTTCTGGAGTGTTTCTGTGCTAACAATTCTCTCAAGTCGCTGACTGGTGAAAGAGCCCGCATACCCCATTCTCTTCAGGCCCTCCAGGACTGAAGTTTGAAATCCTTGTTGCTTTTTCTTCTCTTAATGTCAACATTTTATCGATTGTAGGATTTTTATTTTGAATAGCATGGCTCATTAGTTGCACAACAAATTTCATTTTCATTTGAAAACAAAAGCTCTTCTTCTTCTTCTACTGATTTTCCTTTCTCTTTTTCTTCTTCTCTACCCTCCGCAAAGTCAGCGCTCCCAGGCAGTAATACCCATTACCCGTAAATGAGAGGGGAAGACTAAGCAAACTTCACTGGATGTGTGAAGACCGTACTGCTAATTCAATTTACGATGAATTTACCAGCTACGGTTTCTGTCTTCCATTTTAAACCCTGACCAGCATTTCCTTCGCCTCGGCCGCCTGAGCCAGAGGGAGGTGAGATGAGCGTGATACCTGTGCCCCGCTAATTAACGCTTAATCGACAAGATGGGCTTCACACCTGCCTCCTGACCTGGAACAAAGTCACATAGTCTGTATAATCCTGGCAAAATATGAGACAAGGCAAACTTTCTCATTACCAAACATGAGAAAATGTTCTTAAAATACACAAAAGACCAATAGGTAAGACCTACAACATCGTCTTTCAAAGTCTGCGTGTCTGTAGTTCATTTATTCATTCTTTTACCCACTCGTGCCTGGTCAGGAGAGGTCAGTTAAAGGAATGGTTGGCTCCTATCCCAGCATGCAGTGGGTGACAGTCAGTTATACTCCCTGAAACGTCAAGCGATCAATCGCCAGGCACACAAAATCCTCACAAACCTAAGGTAAATCTAGAGTCTAAGACTGGCCTGACATGCATGCATTTGGCCTTTGTGGAGGAAACCAGAGTACTAGGAGGAAATCCACGCGAACACGATGAGAGTACGCAAGCTTCACACAGACAGGCCCCAGGCTGGATTCAAACCCACAACCTCATTGCAGCGATGCGAGGTTGCCACTCACTGCCCCGTCATGCAATTGTCCAGGGAGATGTGATTCAGATGCATGAAGATGTGGTACTCCATTTTTGCGTGGAGACAAGGCTGTGCGATGACATCATAGTTGAGGCTCTCGCCTCACGTAAAAAGCAAGAAACTGAAACCAATCTAAAAAATAAACACCGAGCAGCGGTTTTGGCTGCACATTTTTCTCATGTTTACGCCAAAAAAAAAAAAAAAATGGTAATGGGGTGTATCAGTGGCGCAGCCTGTAGAACACAACATGCTCATTACGAGCTGTGACGGTGGTTCGAATTTGGCTGCTGACCTTTGTCACATCTCCCCCTCTCTCTATCACAATTCTTCCTGTCTCTCTACTCTGCCGTGTTAAAAATATAGTTTATAGAAGCCGGCAGAATATATTACAACTTGCCGGCACTGTAAGTGTAATGCTTGTTCACTAATCAGCTGGGATTTTGTAAATATTTGTCTTTTTAACCAAGGTTATTCAAGATACAAAAAAGCCAGATAACACTGTTAACATTGTAAAGAAATGACAATTACTATATCACTTACAGTTCAAAACATATCCGGGGAGCTAGGTATGTCCGATATGTTTTCGGTCATTTTGTTTCTTTCATTTGTCCTGAGCACAATGGATTGTGGGCAACTTCTGGTCTTGGAAGTTGTGAAGCTGCCAAAAAGATCCACTGAACATTAGTTTCATTTCTTGGTTGTATTTGAACGAGTCTCAAGAATGGAACAGCCTTTGATGAAGCAATGGCCAAACTATGTAGCCCACCAATAATGCAGCCAAAGCTTTGGAACAATGCTATAACTCCATGAGCTGATGATGTATGTGACCTGACATGTGACTGCTCCTTGACACAGGTAACTAACCAATGACAGCGATACTCTTCTTCAAGAACATCAGTCTTTTTCCCAAGCAACGCTTGGATTGTTTCCTGTTGACACTGTACCTTACATGAGACAGCCTCAGATTGCTTGCTTTTCTGACAGCAGTGAAGCCTCAGTTTTTTTTTTAAATAATGACATCAGACCTTTTCCTCCAGTAAGAAGGAACTCTCATAGTGCATCAAACCTCTCTTTCAAAATTGGTCTTTTTCCTTTCCTCTCCACTTTTCGTCGATCTCAAAAAAAGACGTCGCACAAGCCACGAGAAAGTTGCTGAGAGATTTTTAAGTTACCATGTTTGGGAAAATTCAGATGTCCTTTCTCTCAAAACGTCATGAGCTCCATGGCAAAGATGGCCTTCCCAATTTATCAGAAAACCTTGGGACAGAAATGACACATCCTGTGGCTACTGCTGCAGAGGATTATGGTCCATAATCAAGCCTTTCATCTACGGTTGGTCCTGTATTCTTTTGCTGGAAGGAAGTAATGCAGGAAATAATTGCCTCCATTTTTTCATGAAAAAGGCAGTTTTGATGCTCCTAGTCATGGCTACTAGCCAAACAATTTCCAGTTCCACTCCATTTGCATGGAAGATTCCTTGCTCTTCAGAGAATTTAGTCGCACCCTCAGTTTGCTTCCGAAAGACATTGTACCTTTTCTTCAGACAGGAAGTAAGCCACAGGTTGGCTCCTAAGGACATTCTACATCGCATAGGCATGCATCGTCCTCTGACAGGAAGTAAGCTTCTCTGTAGTTCCTAAGGACATTGCACCTTTCCTTCTGAGAAGAAGCAAGTATCAGTTTGATTCCTCAGGACACTGCAATTTCTCTTCATGCGAGAAGTAATTCTGAATATGGTTCTGGTGGACACCCGTTATGAATTCAAGTCTAATTCCTCTGGGGAGCTCACAAGACAATAAGAAACCAAACACGCCCTCAGTCGGAGTCGTAAAAACGCTCAGAATCTCACGACATTCCGTTTCTGCTCTGACTGAAACCAAGTCTCTGCCCAGCTCCTGCGGACGGCCTGTCATATTTTTTCTTTTTTTTTATTCTTTACCCAACAGGAAACAAACAGGCCTGCTGGGAAGACGGAAGGATCTGGAACAGAAGGCGTCGATACGCGACAGGCAGGAAGAAAGAAGATGAGGCAGGGGAGGGCGCGAGCACGACGGGGGGTCGTATCGACGACCGTGCACTCCTGTCAAGAAACCACCCCCCCGCCACCTCCACCACCCCTTACAAAACCACCAGGTGGTTCCCTGAGATCTCATCTCCACAGAGAGAGAAGAAACAACCTGCCGTCAGACCCCCCACAGAGGATGCAGAATGCAGTGTTCCAGCCGTGATCAGAGAGGTTAAACGCCCACCAACACCACGCAGAACTGCATTCCGCACACAGCAGAGTAAGGCATTTTTACTGCCATGACAAAACAGTGTGTCAGATAATTCTGTCATAAACCTGAACGGTTGCTTCAGTGTTTTCTAACCCCTTAAACTTTAACTTTTCAGTTGTGTTTTCCCTTAAGTAGGTTCAAGGTCAGAAAAGGCGTTGCCTTCTAATTGTATGACCATGTCTCATACAGTTTCTGTTTCTGTTCATTGCAGCACTTTGCTGAAGCTATGGCACATTGATATTAAGAAAAATATTCGCTGCCAGATAGCTCACTCGGTAAAGCATTGCGCTGCGAAGCAGAAGTGATTATCGCGTTGCGGGTTCGAGCCCTGCTTCGCACCAGCCGGCAGAGGTCGGCAGCTTTTTCAGAGTAGTGCACAATTGGCTATAGCGCTACAGGGTTGCAAATTGGGAAGGGACTGCCGGGAAGGTATTACAATAGTTGCCTTGTTCGTTGCTCGAGCGCCTCCTGTTGGCCAGACGGGCGCTCGTCAGGAAGATTCTAAGCCTGTTCATGTCCGGGTATCCTCCACCCTCGTTCTGAACTTGCGAAGATTCAACCAATGAGTGTATAAGAAGCGGTGGTTGACAGGCGCGTGCTTCGGAGGAGAGCCGCGAACTGTCTTCACTCTCCTGAATTGGCAGCAAGGGGTCGCATACGAGCAAGCCTTGTACATAGTTCACCAATTGGGCATTCCAGAGTCGGGTGGGATTGGAGATGCCAAATTTAAAAAAAAAAAAAAAGAAAAATATTCATATCCAGGATCCCATATTTTCATGGCCGCAGCATTACATGAAATGGAAAATATCTTGATCTTGTGCATCATGTTATACACATTTACCTGTAATTCAGCAGGACATATTTGGGATCTTGGGATGAAATACAATTCTCAACAGCATTTAAGGGGTTTTTAGGGTAAAAATTTCAATTTTTTTTTTGAAAATTTCAATATTTTTGATTTTCACATAAAATAAATAAAATAAATAAAGGAATGCAGTGATGCCAGTAAACACCAAGAATCTATATTTTTCCTCTGCCTCAATTGTTACTTTTGACTTTAAATGTAAATTTACCGAAAATCACAATTTGAACTGATTTTCAACCTTGTAGCATTCATAAAATCATAAATATTCATCTCATTGACCTGAAATTTGGACTGAAGTTGTACCTGTTGGAGATGTATGAAATGACATAGGATTTTCTAGATAGGTGCATCCCTAGGGGGTTAATTTTGAAAATGAAGCAAGCTGATGATAGCGATTTTCCCAATGCTTACATAACAGAGCTCATTAAATATTCATAAATGTTCCAAACAAAAAAATCCTAAGTCATTTCATAGAACTATCTTAAACCTTACATATGAGACTAATTTGAGTAAGATCTGACCAACGGTTATTGAAATATCAGTACCCCAAAATATTTTCAGATTTTGTCATTAAAGTGACGTTTCCATGGCAACCATGTAAATTTTTATCAAAATACTACATTTTATGAGGTTAAAATCATGTTGAGTATGTTTATTTCTTAGTTTTTACATTATTATGGTTATTTCTACACTTTACCCTGAAGACCCCTCAAAATAGGCCTGAAGTTCCACAGGCTTGAATACAGCTGCTGCATTTGGAGACATATGCGGGTTTTATTGGATTAAATTGATTCTTCCAGTAAGATGGCCTTCCTTCTCGTCTCTTGATATTAATGGGTTGTGAGCCCTAGACAAACTGAACCACTGAGTTTTCACTAATCAAACTGAACTAAAGATTAAATTTGTTGTTTTAATAAAATATTTTAGCAGAATATCATGTTTGTTTGGTGTACTTTTCTGTCTTTGTGTCAGTGAGTTTAACACACGGTTTTAAATATACCTAACATCCGGTTCATATGCCTGACTTTAACAATGATGGGATTGACCTGCTTTACCTCTCTTTCTCTCCCCCTTCTCTCTCTCTCAGCAATTTTAGTGATTGTTGCTGAGTAATGATTATGTCTGCCCGTGAGTTAGACCGTAAGTACAGTCCAGTGCAATGACTCGACAGTGTTGATTAAGTGAATTAGCAGGTAGAGAGCCCAAGAGCTCATTGAACAGCCATCCCTGTCTCGCACAGACTTTCACGGTTAGTGTGTGGTTAGAACTCCTCCCCATACAATGCAAATTCATGCACACAAATGGCCGCCATGTGCCCGACCTTGCCAAGGACGGCCGCTGCTCAAATTCGAAGACTCGCTCATCAAGGAGCCAAGGGTTACACATTAAAATTGATATGTCATTAACATGCGCGCACTTTTCAAACCGACACGTGTGTATACATGAATACAAAGTCTCCCCTACTTTTAACAGACTGCCATCGAAATGCAGGCCTCCCTCATTAATATGCTAATTAATGTTTTTGCATATGGCGCTCTTGGCCAATGACCTCTAAGCGTAAGGGGCCTCACACTGTCCACCGAAACAGAAATAATTAAGTGGCAGCTAAGAAAAACTCTACATAAGCTTTTTCTTGCAGTAGCTGTCTCTTGATTTGGCTCTAATTGCCTCCTGGGACGGAAGGATAAACATAACCATATATCGCCATAGTTACCGCTGCTGTTTTGGATTGCTGTCTGGATTACGTCCATGTTGGTGTGGAAGTTCTGTTAGTGGTCAGCCATCTTAGAGCTCCGTCATTCTTACAGGACAGTGCAAGGACACACTGAGTGAGTGAATGATTCTTACAGGACTGGGCAAGGACACAGTGAATGAGTGAATGATTCTTACAGGACAGTGCAAGGACACAGTGAATAAGTGAATCATTCTTACAGGACAGCGCAAGGACACAGTGAATGAGTGAATCATTCTTACAGGACAGCGCAAGGACACAGTGAATGAGTGAATCATTCTTACAGGACAGCACAAGGACACAGTGAATGAGTGAATGATTCTTACAGGACAGCGCAAGGACACAGTGTATGAGTGAATGATTCTTACAGGACAGCGCAAGAACACAGTGAATGAGTGAATGATTCATACAGGACAGAGCAAGGACAGTGAATGAGTGAATGAATCTTACAGGACAGTGCAAGGACAGTGAATGAGTGAATGATTCTTACAGGACAGCGCAAGGACACAGTGAATGAGTGAATGATTCTTACAGGACAGCGCAAAAACACAGTGAATGAGTGAATGATTCTTACAGGACAGCACAAGGACACAGTGAATGAGTGCATGATTCTTACAGGACAACACAAGGACACAGTGAATGAGTGAATGATTCTTACAGGACAGCACAAGGACACAGTGAATGAGTGAATGATTCTTTCGGGACAGCACAAGGACAAAGCAAATGAGTGAATGATTCTTACAGGACAGCGCAAGGACACAGTGAATGAGTGAATGATTCTTACAGGACAGCACAGGGACACAATGAATGAGTGAATGATTCTTACAGGACAGCAAAAGGACAAAGCAAATGAGTGAATGATTCTTACAGGACAGCACAAGGACACAGTGAATGAGTGAATGATTCTTACAGGACAGCACAAGGACACAGTGCATGAGTGAATGATTCTTACAGGACAGCGCAAAGACACAGTGAATGAATGAATGGCCTGAAGAACCAATGGCTGGGGTGAGCTACTCTAACCCTACAGGGCAAAAAGATTTTGATGTTTTTTTTGGCAACAGACTTACTGACTGGTGAATGAGTCCATAAACAAAAGTTCTCAAGGCAATAACAGGTTGCAGACTAAAAGGAGGCCACAGAAGTGGCAGGCTAAAATTTGACTGGGATGTGGAAGCTTGGTTAGTTCAGACCTCAGGGCAGCCATAGCACGTACACTACTGATCAAAAGTTTTAGGACACCCCAATTTTTCCAGTTTTTTATTGAAAATTATGCAGTTCCAGTCCAACGAATAGCTTGAAATGGTACAAAGGTAAGTGATGAACGGTCAGAAGTTTTAAATAAAAGGTAAGGTTTTTTTTGTACGCCGTCGAGTAGGTGAAAGCATGGTTCCTCAGTGTGTGACATCAACTGTCAAACATGGAGGAGGAAGCGTGACGATCTGGGGCTGTTTTGCTTGATCCAGGGTCAGTGACTTATAGAGTGAAAGGCACCCTGAACCAAAACGGCTCCCACAGCATTCTGCAGCGCCATGCAGTACCCTCTGGTATGCGCCTAGTTGGTCAGGGGTTCATCCTACAGCAAGATAATGACCCAAAACATAAGTCCAAGCTCTGCCAGAACTACCTTAGGAAAAACGAACGAGATGGTAAGCTTGAAAACATAGAGTGGCCAGCACAGTCTCCAGACTTAAACCCCATCGAGATGGTTTGGGATGAACTGGACAGAAGAGTGAAAGCAAAGCAACCTACAAGTGCCACACATTTATGGGAACTTCTGCAGCAGAGTTGGGAAGAACTTTCTGAAGAATATTTGCTTTCCATTGTAGAGAGAATGCCACGAGTGTGTTCAGCTGTTATATCTGCCAAAGGTGGCTACTTTGAGTAAAAAGTTTAAAATACATTTTGGTTTATAAATTGATTCCATGATTTCTTTTTTTAACTTGCATTATTAATTTGTTCTATCATGTCTATGCTTTCATTCCAGAGTACAATGAGACATTTAACTGTATAATTTTCTATTAAAAAACTGGAAAAATTGGACTGTTCTAAAACTTTTGACCGGTACAGTAGATCTCAACGCTAAGTGTTCATTGCTGTTCGTCTGCCTGCCGTAGCGTCATATGCCCTGAAAGTTGATCCTCCCTCCCTACATAAAACTGACCATATGTGACCTAGACCTTTGACCGGATGAACTCTCAAACCTTATCAGCTCAATTACCCTTTGTGGGGAGTTACCATCTTTGATATGGTGAAAATATGTCCTCTTTATCCACAGATATAGCTCTGAGAAGATATTTGTGACGGACGGTGTGAGGGACGGATGTGCAGACGGACAATCGGAAAAGTTTGCTTCTTGCCCACTGCGTCATGGTCATAGGCATAATCATGTGATAAGTGCAGCTTTAGGGCCCTTGAGCAAGGCCCTTGGTGTGAGGTACCGTTCTGGAACCAAATGCGAGACCAGGAAGTTGCAGCAAAAGTGATTTTATTGTAGTTGGGGGTAAACCCCCACAGGGCAGAAAGCAACGGTACAGAGTCCACAATCCAAAATCACAATCCAGTAGGGCAGAATCAGAGTCGAAAACCAGGGCAGCAATAACAGTACTCGTGGTCGGGCAAAAAACAGGTTCGTACACAGGCACAGGTTTGTCAGAGAAGCAAAAGCCAAAATACAGTGGGCGAATCCAAACCGTTAACAGGGCAGCGAACACAAAACTCTCAGAGTCGGGCAAAAAAGG